AACAACCACCTGTGTAACTATGATTAAGATCAGAATCACCTGTCTGATTAAACATCAAATTAATAGATGCTTATATTTCATAATATTTTGTCAAATTTTAGATTTTGAAATCTTTAATCTTAATATCCAATGTAATCATGTAATCATTTTGAATTATCATTATGAACTTCATAAACAATAGTTTTTTAATACAAAATACTTAAAATACACATATGCTTATGAATTTCATAAAGCAGTTAAAATATAAATTTTTATTAATTGCAAATAAATTTTTGAGAATAATCATATGTGGCTGTAAATTTTGAAGATAAATACACTCTAAATTTATTGGCCTTAAACTGAACCTAAGGGTCACCTGCAAATGCTGTAGCTGTTGGGTATGCACTTCTATCCTGAGATAACACCGATTGTCATCACCACAACATGCCTCACAAATTACAGAATCTAGTCTTAACTTTATTTAATGATACAAATTCAATTACTGTTTATTGAAAATCTTTAATAGTTGGACAATAGTGTCAAAAGAAATTATGTCAAGTTAAAACCCTCAGAGCTAAAGCTGTATCTCTCACCTGTCCGACCATTATTGTAAAACTTGAGTATGTCTAATAAAAAATTCACATCTTAATGATTTCCTTCTGGCAAAGTTCCGTTTCTTCAATTTAAATGAATACAATGTTAAAGACATGGATTTTAGAACTCAAGTGCTTCATTAGCATTTATAACAATGGCTACAAAAAAGGGCACTGAAAATAATAAAGGTGACAAAACAGTTTTCTTTGTTTCCTCGTTTTGAAAATTCTCAATGTTCAAGGAATAATTTAGCGTCTTCCCTCTGAATATGAATTAATTTCTACCTTGAATATAGTCATGTCTGAAAATGGCTCGTGCCGTTAATTCACCTGAAGTGGTATAATATAAGGTTTCGAGTTGCCCGATTAAAGACCTCAACACATGGCATAGGACTGAAAGAAAAGAACAGTTACAAACTGAAACAAAAACCTTACAAATGTCTTTTCTGATTAGTTTTTTCACTGCCTCACGAAAATTGAACATAAATCTGGGTTCTTAAAATGTTTTAATTATTTTAATAATCAGCTGTAAAAAGAAGCTTTATTGTTGATCTGTCAGAAGAAAAGGGTAGTTGAATGGGCTAACAGACCTTTGCTTTTCAAACATGCAGTTTTCTCTATTTATTTTAGAAACAAAACAGTTGAATGAAAAGGAAATTTTTATTTATGAAACTGGAGCAAAACATGCATTAAAGTTTTTACATTAGTTATTTTTGGGGCCCTTTATAGCTTGTTGGTTGGTTTGAGCCAAGGCTCTGTGTTGAAGGCCGTACTTTGACATATAATGGTTTACTTTTTCAAATTGTGACTTATAAACATGTACAGTGACAACAAGACAAGACCATGTAAACATGTACTGTGACAACAAGACAAGACCATGTAAACATGTACAGTTACAACCAGAGAAGAACATGTAAACATGTACAGTGACAACAGGACATGACCATGTAAACATGTACAGTGACAACAAGACAAGACTATGTAAACATGTACAGTGACAACAAGACAAGACCATGTAAACATGTACAGTGACAACAAGACAAGACCATGTAAACATGTAATGACATCAAGACAAGACTATGTAAACATGTACAGTGACAACAAGACAAGACCATGTAAACATGTACTGTGACAACAAGACAAGACCATGTAAACATGTACCGTGACAACAAGACAAGACCATGTAAACTTGTACAGTGACAACCAGAGAAGAACATGTAAACATGTACAGTGACAACAAGACAAGACCATGTAAACATGTACAGTGACAATAAGACAAGACCATGTAAACATGTACAGTGACAACAAGACAAGACCATGTAAACATGTAGTGACAACAAGACAAGACTATGTAAACATGTACAGTGACAACAAGACAAGACCATGTTAACATGTACAGTGACAACTAGAGAAGAACATATAAACATGTACAGTGACAACAAGACAAGACCATGTAAACATGTACAGTGACAATACAAGACCATGTAAACATGTACAGTGACAACAAAACAAGACCATGTAAACATGTACAGTGACAAGACAAGACCATGTAAACATGTACAGCGACAACAAGACAAGACCATGTAAACATGTACAGTGACAACAAGACAATACCATGTAAACATGTAAGGTAAAAACAAAAGATAAGATTTTGTAACAAGTAAAGGAAAAGATAGAAAGGGGCATTCAAAAAAAAAACAAACAACTCCATGGCCAAAGAATAAAATGAAGAAAAGACTAACAAAAGTCTTCAAAACACTACACAGAAAACAGAAGATTGAGCAACTTGAACTAAAAGAAAAAGTGGCGGTGATCTAAGGTGCTCATAGACTCAGTACAATGTAGTAAAATCGTCAATCTACCATTTACCAAAACTTTAACCTGATACAGGATTGACAGACTAATGGACGGCAAATGGATGCACAAATGAAATGGAAAACATAATGCCCCTCTTCTGTGTGACATAAGGTAAATAGATATTAAAAGCCAATTCATTTCAATATAAACTGGAAATTATTCTAAAACTATGTAGTCCAAGAATTCCATTTCAGACAATGGTGAGCGCTCAATATAATCATTTTCCAGTATGTGATAGAAGTAAACATTTCATTTCTTACAAAAGCTCTAAAAATAACCATTGTAATAATTTGTATGATTGAAAAAAAAAAGAAGGTTATATACTGCATCAAAAACAGAATAATGTCCGAACAAAAGCTGTCTCACTGGTCATATAAATCAAATTATCTGTAGTTAAACCACCTACGGACAAAATGCAAATTATCTAAATGCAAATATTCTATCATTTTTACTTCATGTGCATTTATACATATCAATTAAGGGTATTCTTTATGATTATAATTGTCAATTTTTCCAGATGAAAAAACCAATAAAATAAATGTTCTCAAAATCTGCACAATTAAATAGTGAATAAAAAATAAAACGACAGATTTCCATGGTGTTTCTTTTGAATATAAATGAGGCTGAAATAAATTTCACTGTCAACCAAGCATATAATCTTTTTTATCAATTAATCCATCTCACTCAAAAAATAATGATGAGCAAATATCCTTGATCAAATCTCCCGACATGATGGTAGCATTTGTTGAGGTGACAAAAACATAAATTTGTAGCTGTATTCTATTATCGGTCTGCTTTGTAACGGATCCACGGCACGCGTTACCTTGCTCCCTTTGGGTATTTATTGATATTTCAACAAAGCCAAATGTCACACCTGAATGAGTTTTAATGGAAGTTCATTGAGTCAGGTAAACGGTCTTTGGTCTCAAGAGAAGCAATACTCAGTAATTTCCCATCTGTACAGTTTTCCTTTCCTCAACAATCTCTTCAACCATTAAAAACACTCAAGTCTAAAAGAATTTAATCAGAAAGTTTCCCAGACTTAACTGGGTAAAAAAATATAATTAAAGCTCCAAAATAAATGAAACTGAAATGTTGTGGGACCAGATGACCCTTCTTAAAAGTAATTAATATAGGTCCAAATTGAATTGTCTTGTAGACAGCTTTTGTATAACATTAAAAGGCAGTTCCTTTGAATGAAGATTGGCTGGTTTATCTTTCAATGTGTTAAAGCAAAACACTTGCTGCAGTCAAAATCAAACTTGGAATGACTGACTTTAAATGACAGATTTTTTAACACAAATGCCTATGTCAGTACTCTTCAATCACAAACAATTTTATTTTGAAGTATAGAAAGTAACAACCCTCTATAAAGTCAATTATTCTATAATATACCTGGATGAACTCATAATGAATTGCCATGGAAACAGAAATATCAGAAATTGTATCTCCAATATTACCCATTTCCTTGGAGAAATATAAAAACATTTATCATTTAATGGACTTTAAGAGAATTTATCAATACCTAATACATAACAGAGCAATGTTTAAAATTTGCATTTTTTTTTTCCTATTTCAAATTAGAATTTCCATAGCCAATTGGCAGATGAAACACTTTTAAAGTAAAAGTCCTGCTAAGCGGCTCTACCAAAACGTCTACATTAACCAGGCAAATGTTTAGAACATTGTTTGATCAATCCCAACTATCACACTATATCTCAAAATATCATTTCTTTAAAAACTGACATCTTACATCCCTTTCTTCAAGCACTTCAATATTCTTACTAGTCAGAGTATAAAGTTCTTACCTAAAGTTACTATTGACTGAAAAATAAAGTCACCTACTTTCTTCCCAATCTAAGTCAATGATCTCAATTATATAACTATAAATATGATATTTATAAACAATTCTTACATTCATATTTTGTCATAAATGAGTCATAATACTGATGTTATGCTTATAGGATATATATCAGCTGATAAAAAATACCTTTTCAATAATTTTAGTTAGACTTTTAAGACTTTAAAGAAATAGAAGAGGACCCATCTACTATATCAAAAGATTTCAGAACATGTCATATTAATGATTCCATCATTAACATTCCAACCCTAGAACAATGTAGAACACCTTTGCCAAAATACCTGACGCCATTTTGATCTACCTGTTAGCACACTTTGAATAAATTATGTTAAACATATAACATTTTTGAACATTTAGAAAATCCAGTTTAACCCAATTCAATCTTTTGAAAATAGGTACCGAATTAAAATCTTCACTACTTTTATAACATTTATAAACATTTTTGAAGAACTGCGGATGAGATATCATCATTCCACCTGCACACAATTATCTTTTTCTTTTAATTCCCACAGTCATTACAAATCTTCCACAAATAAAGTACAGCCACATAATCATTTACTGGCAAATAAATGTGGATCAAACCATGCAATTATTAAGGCTCAATACCTCCATGATCAATCTAGACAAAACCAATAATCAGACTACTTAATCTGAGAATCAAAGTAGCACCTTCCACATTTGTCCTACCTGTAACCCTGTAAAAGTTTTACCTAGTTTCTTCTTTCTCAGTCTAGTCATCATCATCTTTGAAGAATAAAGTTTTGTAATCCAATAACCTGTTTAAATCCTTGTAGAATTAATCTATTACATCTCTTGGTACCTAGGGTTTCTACCTTAAGTACCAGGTTATGTCAACAAAAATCTACTTTTCTTACTTTGGTTACTATGGTAACTGCAGCACACCTAGTAGGTAACAAATCTTGATAGGTGTATCAGAGAGGTACCAAATGGGAGTCAAAAGTTTTCAAACTTAACAAACTTTTCTTGCACTGCAACAAATGAATTTTCTTCCTTAAATTAATAATGCCTATCATATTTAAAAATGAAACACTTAGATAAAAATACTTTCTATCATAAAAAATAACTTTCTAGCTGAGAAAATTTACATTGCATGTTTTTTAGCATACAAAATAGCATTAATGTTTAACACCTGTCCCTAAATCATCATCAGCTTCAATACAGCCACTTGTCATTTTTTTCTGGTGGTTGCACTATTATTGAAGCAAAAACATATATATATTCAAGGTATCAAGATGATACTATAGACTAAATTGCTTTTTGTATATGAATGGTTTCTGATACAAATGTTGACAAATATCAAGGTGCAAAGTCAGAATGTAAAACAGCTGTTAATGTTTTGTCAACAAGCTCAGGACATTTACACATATGGTTACTATGACAACTTGTAGACTGAATAATTTCCCTAATTTACATGGTTATTCAAAATTCAATCTATTTGCTCAGAATACAATTTACTCCAATTCGGCAATTGTTTTAAATACATCTAGATAGGGGATGTATCATACCCAAACTTTTATTTTACATAAAAAAGTTAAATAGATGCATTATAATATCTTCTGTTTCAGTCCTAATCTTTGTGATTTTTGAATAAAAAAAAACATAATGAAATATATGCAAAATGAGAATTAATATTAATATATAAATAAAAGGACTGGAATCCATGGAATCAAATACATGTATTCAAAACTTTAGTACGGTTCTTTATTCAGAAAATGAGAATTTTATTTTTTAGTCATTTTTACAAATAAAAAATTCTTATCATTCACCAAGAAAACTTTCAATTGATTGTTTCCCCCAAAAAATGTGTATCCAAAGAAAGTCAATCTTAATTAATGCAATTTTTATGCTAACAAAGGTTGAGTCATACTTGACAATATTAAAGCCATCTCTACAAGGCAGCCTAGATACCCGTCCATTGTTAGGACACAGTTCTTAATTTCTCAATACACTAGATCAATTAAGACACACACGTTGGATTGTGCGATTTCTCAATCTGACAGGATTCTTTCAGATTACAGAAATATAAAATGACATCTCCCACACGCCAGTTTTAATTTACAATGTTTTTCCAAACAAAGGCTTTGCTAACATATCACCCTTAAGTAAAATATGGTCACTGTCATTATCTCTCTAAAAAAGTTTGAAGATTCAAGAGAGGTGAGGCATCTGCCTTAGAGAAGGTTTCTCAATACTGTTTTCACATTTATTTTCAATACAATAGACTTATAAATACCAATGAAATCCAAAAGATACATAGACATAACACAAACAGAGAAAAGTATGATACACCAAAAAAGTCAAAAATATCTTAAAATGCACAAATTCTCATTATTCTGATAACCCCATAAAAGGCAGGCATCATTTCATTTATATTCTAATATTATAACTTCTGTGATTAACTTTCTTCTTGACTTGTTATTAATGTTTACACAGAGATGAACGTTTCTACGATTTATTCCACGTCTTTTGTCTCTTTATCAATATTGAAATTCATTCCCATGTTACAAAAGGAGTGAGTACTGCGACCTAGGCTCAGCCAAATGAAAAGGTAAACACAGCCAAGAATTGGCAATAAGACATTGAAAATTGTGTTTACTCTCAAGATTATTTTTTTTGTCTAGAAACAGGTAGTTAATTATTTCTCTGATTTCTCTTTGTGTTGTTATGTCAAGAAAAAATTAATGGTATAAATTGTAAAAATGTTCATGATAATTCTGTAGACAACAACAAAAATTTCAAATTTCTGCTCAAAAACTTTTCTGTTAAGGCCCATTGTCACTATTAAAGTTTTCTTGGTCAAATTTTTTTATTTATTTTTTTTTAGTTGGAATAGAATCTCATTCTATTTTTCTTGAAACTTGGATGGATTTGGATGGGAATTATGCAGCACAGTTTTTTCTTTGACCAAGTTTTTGATGAAAACATTTTATAGTGACAACAAATGACTTGGACCAAGTTTACCTCAGGTCAAAGTTTTCTCCGACCCAAGTTTTTGATGAAAAACTTTGATAGTAACAGCAGATGACTTGGACCAAGTTATATGGTCAAAGAAAACTTTGACCAAGTTAACTTTGATAGTGACAATCAGGTTAAGAATGTAAAACAAATAGATTCAAAAAAATTTATATTTTCAAATAAAAGTTTAAGATTAATATATATATACGAAAACTTTCCCAAATTAAGGAATTTTGTAACAAAATGTGCTTCCAAATTTTAAAATTTCAAATCACCGTGTTAATAATCTCACCGATTTTTTTTTTATTTTCAACAAAACACCTTTCACAACTGGAATATCAGTTTAGACAAAAGAAAATTGCCTTCTCGCTTTGATTTCCACCTTCAAAAATAAACTGGCTTTGTTGATTGAACAAAATACAACACATATTTAGAAACTTTAAATTGCTAAATAATGGAATTCTGATGAGATGTATTATTAGAACCTATTAAAAGATTGTTTACGCAGTTGGTCAATATACTGTAATTGTCTTTACACCAATTTCTGACTTAAATTCAAAATTTTAATAATTGCTTTATAATTTGGTTGAAGCCTTCAATATTCTTCCATAAATAAATCAATGTTTGGTTTGATTGACCAGGTGATGAAACTTATTTTTACATTAAGTGAACAGATTGCAGCCTTAGGAAGGTAGAGAAACCCTGCTGTACAGACAGAATGCACCAAAGCCCTTCAAATGGACATGTCTTAATTACTGATGACAAATTTAGTAACAACGGAATGAACAAATCTAATCCAATATCCAGAACAATGAAATAGCGTCACCTGAGAAATACCTTTAATTGACAAAAGTAATTAACAAATTATACCTTGTTTAAATTGGTTTCCGAAGCACTCATTTCTACCTGTCATGGATATGTATAGGAGATTGATGAGTTTAATGATAACAATTGATGACACAAATGTTCTAATAAATTCACCTTTTACACACTAAAAGTTCTCTCCCTCTTATGCATATGTATATATTCATACTTTTAATAAAACATATTTCAGTAATTAGATTGCTCTATGATAAGTAGATTCAGAGTTTACGTTTCAGATAGGGTAATCTACATAAATATCCTTCTCAGGAATCAACACAAAATTTGTCCTTTCTAAGTTTTAAAAAGTGTTTATTTCTTTCATGTTCTATTGCACACCTGGTATCAAGATTTCAGTCCTCAGAGGGATCCGAATCCCAAGGAACAATTCCACTAGACCTAAATACAGTGGGTAAGTAAAATCTGGATTTGATTCCCACGGAGCTTAATATTCCTTGGGAACCGGATCCAAATTTTACTTACAAATTGCACTAAACAAAATGTAATTGCTCCTCAGGATTCGGAACCCTCCACTGATATTGGATTGGGTTAACAGGTGTGTATTAGCCTTAAAAATGAAAACAAATCCTAAAACTACACACTTCAAATCAGTAAATTAAATGAGGGACAAAATAAATCTCGAGAATTAAATAAAAAAAATATAGGAGACTCTGTCAACGTATATTTGTTCCAATTACAGAAGTTCCCCTGAAAACTTTGTAATAAACAATGTCATAATATCTGTTCCTGTTGGAACAAATATTCTATAAAGAACAAATTCTGTAATATGTGTTCCAGTGGAAATAATATCACAGAATATTTCTTCCACTTGGAACTTATATTATAAAGGAACTTCTATTTCATGACAACTCAAACATTGTTAAACAGAAATGGACTGAAGGCAATCCTATATTTTACTTTTTAAGAAAAATAGTGCATGTTAAATCAGTCTCAATTCTGAACCAGCTTTTTCATAATTATTTTAAAAGCTTATGAAATATGTCTATAATAGTCATACTAAGATGCTGCTGCAAATGCATACTTCTATAAGGTTTACTCTGCAACTTCATGTTTGAAATCAAGATTTTGAATATTCAAAACTTTCTTCAGATGACATGCAACTAGGCATTTTTAATGTGACTCAATTTTAAATCAGGTTTAATTGTCTCCATATCAAGATATAAGATAAATAAACACATCTGCAGTTGGACTTCTTGAAAAATTTGCATTCCAAATGGTTAGTTAAACATTACACCACTTCCCATCCTTAAGTCATTGTATTTCTGATTTTACTTTTTATTAGAACAACTAATGTAGCAGACAAGGTATGCTCACTAGGTGATACATAAATAAAAGGAAAAGGAAACAATATCATGGCATGAACAATTTCAATAATTTCCTGCGTTTGTCATTTTACAATAATTACACCTGAGCATGTCATTTCCAGTAGAAAGCTCTGAAGTCTCATTATCCAGGATCACTTACAGAAATTACCTGGATTTCTACAGAGTATAGCCAATAACAGGTAGAACTACCACAGAAAAACTTCCCATGAGAGTAATAAAAACACTAGGTGCTTTGCAGATCATGTCATCATTATTTTTATTCTAATTTGATTAAAATCAATGACAACAGAGTTAAGTTAATTACAGGTGGAAGACAATGAAATTCTCTAAGGAATTCTTCCACAAGTTCAAATAACTTCACAGAATATTTAGAACTGAAATAGGTTATGAAAACACATAGTATCTCTAGTGTATTATTGAACTCAACTAAAAGTTATCAAATCCTATTGTGAACAAAAAACATGACTGATTCAAAGACTGCATAATTTAATAGTTTAATACATACAATTAAGTTTACCTTCAAATAGTAATCCACCATTCTAAAAACTAACATTTCAAACAGCAAAAACTGCTATTGTGAGATTATATTAAGGATACAAAAAACCAAGTACTTTAGAGTTTTGACTTAAAAATAAAAGTTAGTTTATGCTTAGAAAAAGGTTTGACCCCAG